TCTCTCTCTCTCTCTCTCTCTCTCTCTCTCTCTCTCTCTCTCTCTCTTTTCCTATGAGCAGGGGTGTCTTACATCAGCCCAGAGAGCATCTGACGGACTGAGAGTGCGAGAGAGAGAAGAGCTTGAGTTGTAACTGGAATAATCTAAAAAAAACATCTCTGAACAAATGGTCTGAAAGGACAAGACATCTTCAAAGTGAGTCATCCTTTTATCTCACACTTTTCACCATAACTCTTTCCAGCTTTTACATCATCGTTTGGACTGTAAAGTTCGGGACTTTAAACTCTGACAACCTTCTCTCAAAGCCCACGAGAGAGCCTTAGAGTTCCCTCGGAGTATTTCGTACAGAGAGATTCAGCTGCCTGTTTAAACTCTGTGCACCTTTTGTGTTGAAGTCTATAGCTGCTGTTTGCATGGCAGACTAGATGAGTGGACAGCAGAGCAGAGCGTGCCAGATTCAAACTGATCCAGCTGTTTCAAACTGAAGCCATGATGGTTGGATGTGATTAAGGCCCATTCCTTTATTCAAACAACGTTTCACTTCAAAATATAATCAGGAATGAGGAAAAGAATATGAATGAAGAAAGTGTCTCCTTCTAAATCTCATCAAAACTGAACTGAAGCTTATTGCTGCAAACTTTAAAGAAAAATCTTTTTATTCTCTGGATGCATGAAATTCAGCACATTTCTTAATTAATTCAAATAACAGACAAGTTTAAGTATTTAAGTGTAATTCCCTCTGGAAGTTGGAGTGTTTACTGCATCACACAAATGTCTCTCTATTGTGCAGAATGGCTCAAGCTCTTCTTTTTTACAAGCGACAGACGAAGTGTAACTAACGTTAAAATGATGATTTGAATGCCTTCCAACAAGCTCCCACACATTTTTTTGTTTGCTTTATTGTGGCGGGGTATTCGGGACTTGTGTTTTGGAAAACTAACTCATTTATTGTTCGCTGTGGTCAGCTGATGAAATGTCGAATACTCAAGTTACAGCCCTGAAAAAGATTTCCCTCCCTGCAGTGCATGTCCTGCTTTTGTGTCGTGGAGTTGGTGTGTGTGTGTGTGTGTGTGTGTGTGTGTTTCCTATAGTGTAGGTGTTACATAGGTGGTGTGTAGGTGTCCTCCTGTGGTATGTGAGCAATGGATGTTCAACACAGAGGCCTCTTTTCTACCTCGTTGAAGTTATTTGGTAACTCGACTCGACACTGAAGAGTGAAGAATGCGAATGAGCTCAGAGCTCTGACATTTATCGGACTCGGGAGAGGCGGCGGCGATCAATGGAGTAATTGTTAAAGAGAGGTCAAGGTAATCCTGAGGTCAGGTGTGTGTGTGTGCGTGTGCGTGTGTGTGCGTGTGCGTGCGTGCGTGCGACATCACAGTAAAATAAGCTCTTTGTCAAGGGAAGATGGAGGAGTTATTGCTTCTGACAGGGACATATATGAAATGCCTGTGATGGATAATGTACTCACAGTCAGTGTTGTCCAGACAGCTGGAAAACAGAGAGGGAGACAACGTTCGAGGGGGATCTGATCCCACGCCATCGCTCCATTATCTGGCTGTAACTTGATATTTGATGCACACACATACACACATACAGAGTACAGAGGGACCACGTTAGGAGTGAGTTATCACTGCATCTGTCTGACATGCCATTTCAATTAGCGACCCTTCCCTTCCACAGTTTGGAGGCTGACTGACATCCTCACGTAAAGGCCTTAATCACACACACACACACACACACACACACACACACACACACACACACACACACACACCACAGCAGAGGCTGTAATTTCAGCCCCACATTCAAAACACAGCGCCCGGTGCTTTCTTAGCTCAGCTGTAACTCAACGCAGACGTTGTTTGATTGGAAGTGTTTTCGAAATCAATGCCTCTGGCAAGAGAAAACCAGCTGCAGGCTCGCTAGCTGAGGTGCATGCTGTAATTTGGTATAAATAGCGGCGTTTCAGTGAACATCATCCCTTAAATACTGCGCTGTTGACTTTGTATCCCACACGTGCTTGAACTTCGACCCTGCCCAAACCAGCACCCCACTCATCACCGTCATTTGAGGGGGATTGGGTTACTCGCGTACAGCCTAAAGCAGACTGCATTGGTCCCTCTTATGTCTGAGCTTGGAACACTTTTTTTGTTTTTGACTTGAGGTCTGCGTCCAAAATCAGAGGTGAGACGACGATTGAGCTCTAGTGACAAGAAATATGACAAAAATTACATTTACTCTGATAACTCATAGATATCACCATGAAACTTCACCAGTTGATTAAAGACGTTAAGACAATTCTTTTTTGTATTACAAGTTTTATGCAATGTTATGTTTAAATATGCAAATGAGGAATTATCTATTGTTAACTTTTGGTGAATTTAGGATGAATCTACAGACGCATAGAAAATATAGTAAATGAAACACCTCAATGTGTATTTTGGTTGTTTTCTTTGCACTAGTCTGACAGAAGACATGTTTTCGAAGCTCCTTTAACAGCCCAGTCTGCTCTGATTGGCTTGCGAGATAAATACCACTCACCTTTGCAAAGGTGAGTGGTATTTTCTAATGAGCCTGCATGTGACATTGGAAGGGGATCCAAATGTGATTGGCTTGTTGAATCACATGTTTTCTGATCTAGACAGCCCACAAAAAAAGCTGACTGGGTTGTCTTCGAAAAGTGAATTTTTAATGATATGTCTCCTTTAATATGAGGTTGCTGCTTTGATCCAGAGAAGGCCGTTCGAATCACAGAAACCAAATAATTGCAGAGAAGCTGGAAGATGGATTATTCCATCTTCCGTCATTCTCTCTTTCTCCTGTTTACAAGTGGCAGTCTCTTTTTGTTTTTCTGTTTGTCTCTCCACCTCGCCGTCTCTCTATTCTCCCCCCCCGTCCTCCATAATTACAGGCTGTTAGGGTTAAGATCTGAGACAATATTTCAACATCTGAAGGACCTCATGACGTGCTGCAGACTGCCACTGTCACACAAATGACAGCCTGGGCAGTGAATGACATGCTACTGCTGACGTATCAGGCTTGATATGCACGACATTGGCTTTTTCTAAGGATTTTTGGGGGAATTTTTGCCTTTATTTGACAGAGTAGAGACACAGACAGGAAATGGAGGCAGCGATAGGCGTATGAGATGCAACAAAGGACACAAGGTTGGAATCAACCCCAGGATGTTGCTGAAATGTGGTTTGCCAGTGGGGCACGCTCACATGCACTAAAAGGCAGATGCAAGGGAGAGCGACTTTATTCTCTGCTTCCCTGATGGCAAATAGTTATTTGCTGCTATATTAACGCTCTGAATATCCTATCCAGAACCTTTAAGTATAAGACACTTTCGCTACTTTCACCTCAACTATTGTACTTTTTACTGCACTCCTCCACATTTATCTGTCAGCTAGGATTAAAAACACATTATAAACAATGCATTTTAAAATGCTAAACCATTGCTTTCCAACATTTTTTGGCTCGTGACTAGCAATAAAGAAAAGCAGTGACTGCCTGGGGTTCATCCGTTTTATCTGTATATATACCGAATATGCTTTTCCCCTCTAAACTTTTCTGATAGCTTAATTTCAATAACTGTTAAAACTATACAATAGTCACAAAAAAGAAAATATATCCAAAATCTGAACACAAATTTGTGTAGCAGGACTGTTTTTCTTCTTCTTTCCTGCTTCATTATTCATCTCACGACCCCTCAGATTTATATTCTGACCTTTTAGAGGGGGCCTGACCCTTAGTTTGTGAACCACTGGACAAAAATACAAACTATAGCTGCACCTCACCCACAGTAAAATACAACTTACAAATACTTTTAACTGATAATACATTGTAATGCAGAATAGAGCAGAAAACTATATGATCTTGTCCTGAACAACAGTAAAGCTCCTTCACTTTGAAAAAGAATATTGCAGGTATTTGTTCATAATATGCGTAGTTTAAGAATAGAGGTGTACTTTACTATTTACTCAGAATCTTGAGTACAAATTAATGCTTTTGATTCAAGCAGCGTCCAGAGGATGGACCTCTGCTTTAACGGGGAAATGGAAAAAAAGAGCTTCTTGGCGTAGACTGGTGTTTTTCCAATCTGACAGTGTAGCTGTAAAGTTCAGGGTCTGGATATTCAATCAAAATGGATTTCCAGTCAAAGATTTTAGGCTACTCTTCTTACATAACAAACACGGCCCTTCGTCATTGCTCGATATTCACAACGAACGGTTACGAGTCGATGCTGTAATATAGGTAGATAAAAATATAAAAAAACACAGCCTCTCCTGCAGATTCTCACTTTCTTTCTCCCTTGTGGCCACTAAGCATCATTTGGTAGCCTTTACGAGCACCTACACACTGGTGTGAACAGTTCATGTCCTCATGCAATTATAGGGCCCGACTGGCACAGTCAGTGAGGAGCTGCAGCAGGTGTGCTCCTGCCTTAGTAGTGAGTCTAACCTCAACAAAAGCAACTACGGCGTTAAAGACAAACCTCAAGCTTTTACCTCTGCTTCATTACAGGATTCACCAGATGGATTTAAAGCCCTGCAGCCCAGCCGGAGAAGAAGTAGTTTCATGTTGCTGCAAAACTATTGCTGACACAGTAGTCTTGTTTTTATCCACTCTATCATGGAGCTACACTATAAATGCGCCTTGTATATCATTACATGTGCACATGTGGTTCAAGATATCCTACAATTAAGCATGTAGACCGGAACACTTCTCAGCAGGTGTCACATCTTACTTAGACAATAGAGGATTGTTTTTCTGTCCGCTTTTCTCTTGCAGCTATGATTGTTTAATTACATGTGTGTGTGTGTGTGTGTGTGTGTGTGTGTGTGTGTGTGTGTGTGTGCGTGCGCCTCCCTCTCCGATTTTATTGCGGTGAGTTTACATGGCTCCACCTGGGACTGATTGGGAACCGTGATTCAGATTTCATGCATTCCCATAAAAATTAAATGTCTGTGTTACGGCCTTCAGGGAGAAACAAGAGGATGTAATAGAAAGCACATGTGGATGGTTACTGTGTGCCACATGCGGGCACACTGTACAGCAATCAGGCCCAGCACCAAAAGTGCACATAAACACACACACACACCCTTATATACGTATACTGTATGTGCAGTTTATAGCACGATGTCTGGCTTTATCTGTAGATCTGAACTGAGAGACATTTGTTGTTGATA